GGGTGGCAGGGCGGGGCGCGGCGCGGCCGAGCGAGTCCCGGGCCTCCGAGGTCAGGTGCGTGTCGGGGGCGGGTTCCGGGGACGGAGGGGGTGGTCAAGGGGCCGGTGATGGGGAAGCGGGATGGAGGGATGAACTCCAGGTCGGGCCCCACCCTGGGCCCCATCCACTGGCCCCAGGGACGAGCCTTGGGGACCCTGGACGGGCCCTGTCCAGGCCGGGTCCCCCCAGGGTCGGGAGACGGCGCTCAGGCCGCACCCCCTCCCCGTGCACAGGTAAACAGGAGCGAGGACTGGGCGGGGCCTGGGGAGGGGGTGGAGGAGCCCTTGTGACGGACACGGGGAGGGAGGGATCCCCGGGTGCGGGGCGCACCAGGCTGGGCCAGCGGCCTGAAGTAAGGTGCACCCTGGGGGAAGGGGGGGTGGTAGGACCTTTCTGCGCCCTACCTGCGTGCGTGTGCGATGGTGTACGGCTGTAGCTATGGGTGTGAAGGAGGGGGCCGCACCGTTGTGTGTCGCCTGGCGAAGGGACCCCAGGCACCCAGCGTGAGTGAGCTGACAATGTGGGCGCCCTGCTGGCGTGCCAGGCTGAGTTCGTTTCCATTGCTTGTAGGACTTTGTGTGTGCGGCCGAGGTTGTGCGGGTGACCCTGTGTGTCCCTGTGAGGGCCCAGGTGGCTGTGGGGGACTGGGCCCTGGAGCTGGAGTGGTGCCGGTGGACCCTGGGGAGGGTGGAGAGGGTCTGAGGGAAGTGACCGGTGCCCAGCGTGGAAGCGGGGTGAAAGGGGGGTGGGGAAAGGGATGTCGCTCGAGTGAAACGTGGGACTAGCCTGCAGCCGCCCCTTGGATCGATGGAGGGGTGGGTACAGGGATGGGGAGGGTGGAAGTGTGACTGGGTGAGGTGTGGCAGGTTCTATGGAGGGGAACCCCTCAGAGGAAGGCGGGGTGCATGTGGGGCCTGTGTGACTGCCTCTGGGGGAGCTGGGGTCAGGCTCCCGATTCAGCCGGGTGCAGGGACTGTTGGGGAGCTTGCCTGGTGGTAAGTTCGTGTTCCGTGTGACTCTGACTGGCTCGTGTGTAGGATTTTATGTGTGTCCACTCCGCCGTCAAGGCAGGTTTCGGTCAGAGAAGGCAACGCTAGATATCTCCCACTAACAAGGGGGTGGGCATGTGATCCGCATGGACGCTGACTCAAGAAAAACGGCAGCTCCATCCAGCCCACTGCCTTCGAGTCCAGGTTGACTCACAGCATCCCTCCAGGACGAGGGAGAACTGCCCGCTGTGGGGTTCCGAGTCTGTAACCCTTTATGGGAATGGAAGGAAGCCTCGTCTTTCTCCCAAGGAGAAGGCTCGTGGTTCTGAACTGCTGACCTTGGGGTTAACAGCCCAATGTGTAACCCACTACACCACCAGGAAAGCAAGGTGGCCCTACAGTATTTCCGGCTTTCGTGTGTGTGTGTGTGTGTGTGTGTGTGTGTGTGTGTGTGTGTGTGATATGTATCACCTTACTGCTATCCAGTCGATTCGGACTCACAGCGACTGTGGCCGTGCACGGGCTCAGGTGTAGGTATAGGTCAGAGCCCTGGTGATGCAGTGAGTTAACCTCATTGGGCTGCTAACCTCAAGATCAGAAGTTCAAAACCACCAGCCGCTCCTCAGGAGAAAGACGGGCCCTTCTGTTCTCATAAACAGTGACCGTCTTGGAAACTCACAGGGGCAGTTCTACCCTGTCCTAGAGCGTCCTATGAGTCGGCATGGACTGGATGGCAGTGAGCGAGTTTGCAATGTGTATGAGAGGGTTTCTAAAACTCTGTGAACACATGACAAGATAATGGGGTGTCCCACCCCAACCCCGGGCTTTTCAGAGGGGGTACCTTAGACACACAGGCCTTCTATACCTACATGGGTCTCGCTGAGGGGGGTTTAAAAAGTTCGTGGGGAAATTCCATCCTGTTCTTATTCCATTTGTCCCCACGATTTCGGAAACCCCCCTCGTGTGTATATGGCATCTCTGGGCGCCGTCACAGAGTCAAACGGTGATGTGAACCCGCCAGGAGGCCCCTCAGAAGGGTCTTGAAGGCCCCATGGAGCATTCTACTCTGACAGAATCCACTCGACACAACGCACGTGTATGGACACTCCCACGACAGAGAGACAGACAGACAGAGGTTGTGGGGGTTGAACAGGTGGTCCCATCCGTGCCCTTCCTGGAGGTTATCTGCCAACCAGTGACCCCAATTCCTGGGAACCCCGTGTGTGTCAGAGTATGCCTGTGCTCCACACAGTCTCCAAACCTCCCCAAAGCAAACCTGCTGCCATTCAGCCCATCCTGACCCAGAGCGACCCTGTAGGACAGGGCAGAAGGACCCCTGTGGGTTTCCAAGGCTGGGACTCTTTACAGGAGTAGGAAGCCTCGTTTTTTCTCCCCAGGAGAAGCTGGTGGTTTCGAACTGCTGACCTTGGGGTTA